GCAGGGCTAAGCCCGCCAGACGGTGGGAGCGCAGCCCCCGAGCGTGCGGGTAACTCCTCCGAGCTGCTCCTTGAGGGAAAGGGGCCGCTTCAAACTGGCTTGATGGTGGGGGGGGGGGTTTGGAGCACGGCTGTGGCGCTGTATGAATTGCTCTGGCAGCCTTTAACAGCTGGCTAATCCAGGGATCACGCTTCAGACTTGCTTGGCATTTGAAATAAAAAAAGAGCAGGCTTTTGTACTTTCCTCTGTACACACCAGACCCTAGCTCCCAAATGCGCACCTTTGCTTTTAATCTCTCCAGTAGCTTGTAAAATTAACATTGCTAGACCAGTACGTCGAGACTCTCTTGAAGGATCCCTCTTCAACTCCGAAGTTGATCAGAATCTTGTAGACTTTCAAATGGTCACCCTCTCCCCCCATGTATTAATTTCTTAACTGTACCTCAGTATCTTTTTTGAGGTCAACAGAACATGCTTTAAAAAACTTTCAGAGAAGAAAGTACTAGCTGGTGTAAAGAGGTTAAAATGTGTGTAATTGTGTAAATGCCAAGCATTTCAGTGGTTTCATGGTTACATAAGGGGCAGCAGCTAGCTCCCTGGCTAGTACAGATAGGGATGTTAAGGACTTGTTGACTATGGATAAGCAAATGCTTATCAGATAGTTAAGTAGTGGTCCTCCCCTTCCCCCCCCTCCCCTGTCAGGAAGAAGGGGTGTTGCAGCACTGCTGACCCTGGGGGCTCCATATGGTGCTGCCCTCTTGAAAGGCTGCAGTGGCATTGCTGCCCTATCAACTAATCAAACAGTGAATTACATGCTACTTAACATCCTTAGTACTAACTGCCACCCATCCCTGCAGACACAGGGCAGCAGCCAACTCCCTGGGAGAGGGAGGGAGGAGCCCATGCATGCTAAGATCTGGCTTTTAAGCTGGCTCGGAGGCAGCAGTGCAGGGAGGCAACTGCCTCCTTTTATACTGCGACACACTTGCATCCCGTACCTGGTGCAGTCCAGTGTTCAAAACAGGATTCATTTTAGCCCCCAAAAAATGATCAAAATGGCAGTTCATCACTTGATTTCTCCAAAAGTGAGACCATAACTTGCTACAAACACCTCTTGTTAAAAAGGGGTTTAGCAAAGAACAAATGTGCTTCAGCCCCAACTACGTTCAGAAAGTTTTTGGGAGCTTTAAACTATTAATGGAGCACAAGATACTGATCGGTTCTGTATGGCTTGTTTCTGATGGCAGCAAAATATGGTGCTCAGAAGGGAGACAGTTACGCTTTGGAGGGGTTGAAGTATGACTCTGGTATTCACAGAAATCTCAACTGGCTTCATACCCCAAGGCTGCGTCTAGACTGGCAAGCTTTTCTGCAAAAGTGACTGCTTTGGCAGAAAAACTTGCCAGCTGTCTACACTGGCGATTGTCGGTGTTCTTGTGTGAATACTGTGATGCTCCCGCTTGGGGATAAGCCCTCTTGTGCAAATGATTTTGAGAGGGCTAGTGTAGACAGGTAAAAACTGTTTTGCGCAAAAAAGCCCCAATGGCAAAAATGGCGGTCGGGGCTTTCTTGCACAAAACCTCTAGATTGGCATGGATGCTTTTCCGGGAAAAGTGCTTTTGCGCAAAAGCATCTGTGCCAATCTAGAAGCTCTTTCCCCAAATGCTTTTAACAGAAATTTTTTTCCATTAAAAGCATTTGTGGAAAATCATGCCAGTCTAGATGCAGCCCAAATGAGAGGGAGTGCAGAGGTGAAATGGCTGAGCATGTGGAGTGTGTGCCAGTCACTTAGCAACTAAATAGCTGTGCCTTCCAAGTGAAAGTTACTCCAAACCCCAGTGAGTTGCCATCTTGACAGAACTACTACATCCGCAATGAAGGCAACAATAGAAATGGCAAGCGTTTAATTTGATTGAGATCTGCATTCACAGGTTCCCAGACCAGCGAAGTGTTCATTCTACTATCTGAATTTTGTTTTCAGTCCTTCTATTTTGACCGGGATGATGTGGCTCTGAAAAATTTTGCCAAGTATTTTCTGCACCAGTCCCACGATGAGCGTGAACATGCTGAAAAACTCATGAAGCTGCAGAACCAGAGGGGCGGTCGCATCTTTCTGCAGGATATTAAGGTTAGCAGCAATGCTAAGGAGACTTTTCAAGGGCATGAACAGTAACTTCCTTTTGTGGTCTGCACCCAGGCTGGAAGAGGGGCTATGAAAGCCAGTCTAGTCTGGGTCATCTCAAATGTTGGCCAATTAATTACTTAGTAATGTATCCAACAGTAAGCAAATTTTATCAACTCATGAATCGGCAGTAGGGAAAAACCTTGCAGTGCAGATATGTAAGTATGATCCTTAGATACTGGTACCATGATGTACAAGTCTCAGTATATGCATTTTTTCGCCTGTGATTACACCATACTTCTCATCTAAGATGACAGTGATGGTTTTAGACTGTACAAGAAATGAGTGCCTTTCTGACCTGTATCTTAGAGTTCCAGTTGATATGATCTCTATCAGCCCAGCTTCTGTTTTGTTTTCTAAGTTGTTAGTCCCTAGATTAGATTAGGTCCTTATGTTACCAGGGAACATGAATATTATGGTGTATCTAGTGCCATGGAAGTAGATTACCTAAGAGTCTGTAATCAACATATCACTAAGCCACTCTGAATAACTTGCATCAGCTACGTGCTATTAAAAAAAAAAAAATCTTTAAAATTCAAAACTTTTCATTGAGTCTCAAATTTGAAGTAAGAGTAAGTGTTTAGGAAAATGTTGTTGCTAGAAATAATTATACTTCTATTTTTACATAGCCCCAGTACAGTATCCGGTGCTTTTGAGAATGTTTAATCAGGAGACTTGTTGAGGTCTTTCAGAACACCCAGTAATTACTATAAAATCGGGGGTCAGGAGCACTGGCCTTGGTATAACATATACTCTAGTTCTCACCACTTCATCCTCCTTTTTTTAATTTTTTTTTTTGAGACCTGAACTAGCTTAAAGCAATAGTTTGTCTGGCTGAAGACTAGTTCTCCCTATAGACTGACCTGCTGCTGGGTCTTATGACATTAATTTCCAGGCTTCACCTTTGCCCAGGTATAGAAACTTCATTTCTTGAAGCCTCTTCCCTGTTTAGAGGATCAGTCTTCTACCTAGAGGTCCCTTCCCCACTGTTTTGGATAATACAGCTGGTATCTGTAAACAAATATGGCCTTGTATTAACAATTCTCATGAATGTCAGGCCACCTTGGGGGAGACACCAGTAAGAGCACTTCGGGGAGATGATTAGTTAATAAGAAAGTTGATAGATTTGGGACACTGTAAACCAGACGAATACTACTGTAGTAGTCGGTACAGAGACTTTAATGAAGGGATGGGGAAACCAGCCTGTGGTTTGCCTTGATATGGTGGGCATGGCTTGAGGCTTTCCTTTGTTTCTTCCCCTGGCATTACAGCCTGTTGGCGCTTCAGCGGCCAAACCTCTATGCCCCTCCACATGGCTGGAGAGCCAGCCTTAAAGGCCAGAAGGCAACCTGGGGGGGGGGAGGGTCCTCAGTTCTGACTTGCCAGGTGAGGAATCTGTCCCTGCACTTGCTTGCAGGCTCAAACACCCCCTCCTCCATTGCTTTCTTTGGCCAGGAATCCTGGTGAATGGGAGTGATGGGGAAGGGGGGCAATACCTGCAAGCACAAGGTAGTGTGTGGCCACCTGTGCTCCCCTGGGATCTGTGGAGGTAGGTGTCCCAACCTCCTGATGCACCCTACCTCCTACCCATGTCCTGGGTCCCCATTCTCAGCCTACTGCTGCACCCTTCCTCCTGCTCAGAACCTGCCCCTTCTGCACACTGAATCCCTTATTTTTTGCACTATCCCAGAGGCTAGGGCTCCCCACAACTTGCCAGCCTTGGGCTCCCAGAAAAATTAATCCAGCCCTTGGGGTGGAAGATTAGACTCTTGTTTCTGATGAGATTCTAGTGAACTGAGTTCCCACTGCCCTGCTGCTGTGTGTGGCATCTGATGGCAGCTAAGTTGTGGTGGTGTGTGTGCTCCTTTCTGTGTTAGAAACCAGATCGTGATGATTGGGAGAATGGGCTGACAGCACTGGAGTGTGCCTTGCACCTGGAAAAGAATGTGAACCAGTCACTCCTGGATCTGCACAAGCTGGCAACTGACAAGAATGACCCTCATGTAAGTGGAAATTGAAGCTGAGACTAGAATGTGGTTATGCAAGCCTTTAATGATGTGTTTTTGGGAGGGGTTCAGGGTGTCCAGCCATGCACTCTCCAGCACAAGCTGGGATTTTTCCAAACTAACACAGGCTGCAGCTGCTTTTGCGCAGAATTTGCCGCCTGTCTCCACTGGCTGCTTGAATTGCACAAGAACACTAACAATCTAATGTAAGATTGTCAGTGTTCTTGCGCAAGAACTGTGATGCTCCTGCTCAGGGAAAAGCCCTCTTGTGAAAATGGCCGCTGGAGCTTTCTTGCACAACTGCATCTATACTGGGCACAGATGCTTTTGCGCAAAAGTAAATCTTTTGTGCAAAGGCACTTGCCAATCTAGATGCTCTTTTGCGGAAATACTTTTAACGGAAAAGTTTTTCCATTAAAAGTATTTCCTCAAAATCATGCCAGTCTAGAGACAGCCCCTGTGAATAACAGTGATGGAACTGATCAGTTAGCACATGGGTGGCATTAGGTTGTTTTGCAGTGCTTTGCTCCAGCTGTGTCTAGCAGGACCTGCCTTGTTCAGAAAGATCTTCTCTGCTACTGAACATGTGTGGAAAGCTGGCTGATTCCACAGCAAGTCACCAGGCTACTGAGGCACAAGCATAGCTAGCTTTCTTCATTTCTTCAGAATTAAGCACTATTTTCATTCTAATTATCAGCTCAATATGAATCTAAAAGCAGTTTAGTGCCATGAAGCTTTGGCTCCTCTGATGCATAAAAGGTAAAAGGGGTAAATCCTGAATGTCTGAACCTACAGGTCTCCTGTGAGGGGTTTAACTTTAGGGAGACTCCTCAATGCTAGAAACTTGAACAGAATTTGGAAGGAAGTGGGAAGAGATTGATGCCTTAGCAATGCAGGCACATACACTGAAAATCTGAAGTAAAATTGTGGGCAAGCAGTAAAATCATGGGATTGAGTAAATGCTTCTAAATCTAGCTTTCTAAATGACTAAAGGCAATTGAACAGTCTGTATTGAAAGGGTGTAAATAGTAAGTCAGAAATTTAAACGCTACGAGGGAAGGTTTCCATAGCTATAAATGGAAGGTGCAGGAGACTGATAGGCTTGGGAGGTGGTTGTAATGTCAGGATAACATCCAGATTCAGACATGAAAACTGGTATTTATCAGTAAACACCAAAATATTACATGTCTAACAGCTCTTATATACCGAGTTGCAGGGGGGTAATGACTAAATTACACTATTGTGCATTAATTAGTCTGTAGACATTGCTGGTGCACACTTGCTTGAAACAGCACAAATTAAAGTGAACTAGAGTATATTGCAAAGATGGATTACTGTAATGTGTATATAATACCTTGATGTATACAAAGCTTTAAACTTCAAATCACTATTCCTTGTAAACGGTGCACTTGGGAGAGTGAGATTTGTGTCTCTCCATTTGGTGCACATTTGCATGTTCCTCAGTGCACAACAATTTATTCCATGTATTGATGAAATATCCAACTCCACTTACTGAAGTTAAACCTCTGAAACAAGAACCTGTGCTCCAGTGCCCTGCAATATACCAACAGATCTGGGGGAGGGGGGTCTTCCACTTAGAATTATTTGATGATGTTTTCACATCACTCAAGTAAATTCAGAAGCTTTTCTCTTTTGGTAATTCAAGAGCATAACCCTGTGGGGAGAGAAGATGCAGGTTTTTTCCTCCCCCTTAGTAGGAAATCAATCCCCCTCCCCCCCACATGCCTAATTGCCTTAAGAGGTAGTTGCAAGTACAAACCCAAGATCCGTTTGATTCTGCCTGTTTGGTTGAATAAATAATACTGACACAAGTAACTCTTCTCCCCTCTTAGTTGTGTGACTTCATTGAGACCCACTACCTGGATGAGCAGGTGAAGGCCATCAAAGAACTGGGTGACCATGTGACCAATCTGCGCAAGATGGGGGCACCCAAAAATGGGATGGCAGAGTACCTCTTTGACAAGCACACCCTGGGGGATTGTGGCAATCAAAGCTAAAGCCTCTGCATAGACCACCCATGGATTTCAGTAAGCTTCCTAGCTTGCTGCCCAGCAGTGCATGCATCTTCTGTTTATCTAGATGTCATTCTGTACCAAAAATCTCACTTTTTGTGTTAACACCTTACAGTCAATAAAGTGACTTGTTTCAAGTTTGTTTCATTTGCCTTGCATGATATGGGCGTGACTACTGCATGTGGGGGTTTCACAGCATATCTCCTCTGAGGATGATCCATCTTGGGATGGGGGCAAACTGTGTTAATTCATTATGAGGGGGGTGTATCTTGCATCACTGACTAGGCACTATTCCTTTGTGTTCACCACAGCTCCACAGGCATACTTCAGTTGACAGAGTGAGTAGGAGAGGCATTCCCTACCACTTGGATCTGCTGTAGGGATTATTCCATGAGCATATGCTCATGGGTACAGAGACAATTTAGCTACTTTCAGTACAATGGAGGGACTTGGACGGTCTGAAATCTGCAGTGGGCAAGCTAATCATAAAGGAAGTGACCAAAACAGAACCAAAGCTTTGCTACATATGCTCATACTCAAATGTTTGTCCATATCTATAGATATCACCCCCAGAAATTTTGTGCTTTCAGGAACATTAGCAGCTAGCTTCCTCTACTGAAACAGCACAGAAGAAAAGTTAGATACTTCAGCCAAATGCTTTGTGACAGTAAGAAATGTAGAATTAACCCTCTTCAGTAGGGTGGGGTTCTTAGGCTATCTCTAAGGACCTCTTTCAGAGGGAAAGTGCAATGCTTCAGTTTAGTTTGGGTGAAGGGCAAGCTAAGCCAGTGATATCTTGGGTATCTGGGTTAGGGTAAAGGGGAGATACAGTTTACACAACATTGTTTTTGAAAATTACTGCAAGTCATGGACATCAGGGCTATGGTTTTGAAGCACACTTCTCATTTATACTGCAGAGCAGCCTTTTCCAATTTGACTCCTATAAAGTCTCATCCCATCTTTACTGAAACTCAGTTCAAATTTGTCTCTAATATCCAATACTTACACAGTTGATTTTTTTAAATATGCATCCGCTTTCTTCTGTAGCTAGCAAAATGGGTGTAACAAGTTAGGGGTGTGTGTGTAGGGTCTTAAAATGAAAAATCTGCATGAACTAGATGGAGGAAGTGTGACCTTTAAAAGGTTTCTGTCTCCATTGCTTATGTTCAAACTGCTATGGGTCAGGAGCATCTAACAAAAAGCTAGGGATGACTGCTCACTGATGTAGCTTCTTGAAACTGCAATGAGGAAGTGGAGTTTCTTGTTTGACCTCTGGTTTTTCTTAGTCAGAATTCTATTCTAAACCACACTGACAAAGTTGGTTTTTTTTTCCATTCCATATTTCTTACTTACCATAAACTACTTTTTTAATGAGCGCTAATTGCTCAAAGTGTGTAGGTGAACTGGGGGGAGGAGGCATGGACAGAAGGGACAAAATACTGGGGAAGGAAAAAAATTGGAGTGGAAGCAATAGTAGGTTTTTTGTTGTTGATTTGTAGAGTCCTCCAAATCTGTGGATATCTGCATCACTGGCTATCTGACTTGTTTTTGTGTAGACAGAACTTTTGTCTACATCTGTATCTTTTCAGGTCTCTACTTGTTTGCTTCTGATTAATCCAAGATATCAACTACCTGCATTTTGTAATGTAAATCAGCTGCCTGCTGTTTATTCCAGTTCCTTCCTCTGGATATCTGGCTATCCTAATTGTCCCTCCCCAAACTTCACATTTCTAATGTTTACATGTATCCCCTGCACTTGTTATGGGGTCTCTTGAGGCAAACATTCATAAAGCTGAGTGGTAGTGTGGTTACCATGTGGGTCAACCTTCCAGGCATATTTAAGAAACAGACTTCTGATTTAATCTGTTTCTGTACCCCAGGTACTAAAAGGCTGGTGTCCTGTTGCTCCTGTCTCCTGCTCGCCACTAATAAAGAATTTTATGAATTCTGTAAAATCTTTTTGCATTAGTTATATTGGTATTCTGAAATGGTGTGTCACTGAAGTGCTGTGAATTTGTCCAGTCAGCACCAGGTCCATTGCATCATCCATCAGGTACTGCACTTCTCCCCCGTGGCAGTATGTGGTTGATATAGTAGCATTGCCTCTTTGTAGAAGCTTTATGCACAGTGAGCACCAATGACCATTGTAAAGACACTACAGTATTATCGATAGGGCTGGTATCTCTGCAGTTGGAAGGAACCAACAGGTCTCTTCATTTAGTTGTATCTATCCACTTTCCCTTTTCCCTTCATCAGACACAGTCTCACTGGTTTCCATGATCACCTCCATCAGCCCCACATAGTCACCCTCTGCCAAGGAGATACCGGAGTCATTAGGTGAGGGACTGTCTGCTCTCTTCTGCTCCTCAATGTGATGAGCACTAGCATGGCCACTTCCTGTCTCTCTCCCAGTCCCAGAAGTCTCTATGGAAGTCTGGGCTGGGGCCCTGCTTGCATGGTCTGAGCTTGGACTGGGAACAGTATCTGGATTCCTGGAGTGTGACCTCTCAAGCAGTGGGGATGTCACAGGGGTGAATGAGAAGAAGAGGGGCCCACTGCTGCCAGGAGTTCTCATGTTGGGGGTATGAAAGTTGCTTGGGTTATCTGAGTTTGGGGTGGCAGCGGGTGTCATGTTCTCCAGTGTTAGCCAGGGTTGTCGGCTTTTCAGACTCTTCAAGCTCTTGAAGCTGCCCTGTTTTTCGTGATCTGGGGACTCTGCTAGGAAGGGAAACTTGGGGCTTCCCAATCCTATTGATTGAATCCCTGGGCTTCTAACAGGGGCAACCTCATTTGTTTTATTGTTCAAAGTGTTTTTCTCTCCTTCCTCTACTGTCAGCACCAGGGAGTCAGGGGCTTTGTCTTGTTCTCCTGGCCAAACAAAAGTTTCCTTTAGGGAGCTCTGGCTCTTGTCCACATCACTAACCCTGGAAGGTGACAAGCTGACAAAGTTGTCTCTCGCTGAAGTGGAACAGGCCATGATGCTGGCAAGAGCAGGGGGCTTCTTGCGTCCTTGGCGTTTAGATGGGAAGTTCATAGGGATGGAGCTGATTGGTGTCTGTGGAGCGCTATAAAAGCCAGGTCTCTCATAGAAAGGGGTTGATATGAAGGCATCAAACTCTCTCAATTTTCTGTTTTCATTGTCCCATTGCTCCTGTGAGCTGGAGCCTGGATGGGAGGAATCCCCCCTTTGCTGACTGGTGCTGCAGGGGCTTCCAGGTTTCCCCACATCCTGGTACAAGTACTGAGGAAAGGGAGACAAAGGGTCATTCCTGCGGCGTGGCAGGTTCAGCCGGGAGGATGATCTGGAGAAACTAGGTGACTGGACCCCCAACAGGCGGCCCAGATGTCCCAGCAGCGGTGTAGAGTGGTTTGCCTCCTCGTTCTCTTTAATTTGTTCCAGCGGCTGGAATTCCATCTCTTCTTTCTGCATGCTGGGGAGAGGCAAAACAGGCTGTCATGTACAGTGACACTCTGGAAGGAATTTTCCTCCTGAGTGTGGAAAAGCACCTCGGAGACTGAGCGTTTGCCTTCTACTTAAATACTGAGTTGTGATCAGTGAAGATCAAGGGAGAGAGTTGTGGTACAGGGCAAGTGCTGCAATGAACCATCCCTCATGTCTTCCTCTATATTGCAGTATCAGGCACACATCTGGGCTATGAAGCCACTGTCTCTTACCATGATTTCACATGCGAAAGAGGATTTGAGAAACACTGAACTCCAGAGAGTGGATATTTATGGTGGGGGAAGAACTGCTGCCCTCCAGAAGAGCATGTGTAAGATCCACAGATTGTGTGACACGTGGCTCTGGTCTGAGTGTAAATCTGGCCTCCACTGATAATTTTGCATGGCAAGAAAGGGGATGATTAATCTTACAGCCTTTAGTTTCACTCACCTAATGTCAAACGTTGAGCCAAGAAAGGATGTCCGCTTATAATCAGCGGTGGCTGCTGTGTAGGGTGGCTGGGGGTAGGACTCATTCCAATACAGGTCCTTCTCCATGAGAGGTAGGTCCTGATGCATGTCATCCACAGCTAGAAGGGAGACCTGAGGGGATGACAGGAGCATCAGATTCAAGGTAAAATAATTCTGCATGGTGTAGGACTTGCATTTAAGAGAACAAACTCTCTTCTCCAAAAGAGTTTGCAGTCACCCTAGGCCTAGGAATGGGGAAGGGATGCAACAGGAAAGCGCTCAATGAATAACCAGCTGAGTTTGATATATGAACAAGTTAACCTCCCTGCACACACATTTTTGCATTTGCAAATTGCCAGTCTCAGGCAAAAAAACCTCCAAACTTTAAAAACAGACTGCAGAGAGAGACTGCTGATCTGGAATTCATTTGCAAATTTGATACCCTAAATAGACACAAGGGCTACGTCTACACTGGCACCCTTTTCCGGAAATGCTTAAAACGGAACAGTTTTCCGTTATAAGTATTTCCGGAAAAAGAGCGTCTACATTGGCAGGATGCTTTTCCGGAAAAGCGTCCGTGGCCAATGTAGACGCGCTTTTCTGGAAAAGCCCCGATCGTCATTTTCGCGATCGGGACTTTTTTGCGGAAAAGATTACTGTGCTGTCTACACTGGCCCTTTTCCGGAACAGTTTTTCCGGAAAAGGACTTTTGCCCAAATGGGAGCAGCATAGTTTTTCCGGAAAAACACTGACAATTTTACAGTAGATCGTCATTGCTTTTCCGGAAAAGCAAGTGGCCAGTGTAGACAGCTGGCAAGTTATTCCAGAAAAGCGGCTGCTTTTCCGGAATAAGTGGCCCAGTGTAGACACAGCCAAGGAGTGGTTCTCACATTACAAGGGATAATTTTGCAGTCAGGTACTCTCACCTTCACACCATTGTTGAAGATGAGCCATATCCACTCGGAATTAATTAGCACAGATGTCAAACTCCCATCTCTACCTCCGCTTTTTTCCTCTTCATCATCTGAGGAAGTGAGTTGTAGCTCACGAAATCTTATACCCTAATACATTTGTTAAAGTGCTACTGGCCTCTGTTTTTGCTGAAACATAGCTACCTCTCTGAAATAAGGTACCAAGGTTATTCTTCATGTATGCAATATTGTTTAAATTGGAACCAAGGGGAAAGAGCAGGAGGCTGAGATCAGGGGCATGGTTTGGTGTACACAGCTCTGAGCTTTAGGGGGGAGAATTTTTTTGGCTGAACCCCAGTGGGAGAGAAGCTCTTCTAGGCACAAGAAGCAGTGTGGAAAAGATACAAGGCCGTTGATGGGAGAAGGAGGTGATGGCTTTGAAAAGGGGTAGGAACGGCATAGCACCATGGACAAGTGGGAGACCAGTGAGATGTCACAAAGTCTTAAACGTGAGCACAGGCGGCATGGCCTGGCTAGAAAATGGCACCGGATGTTGCACGCAGGGACATAGCCCCTCACACATGTACACCAGCCATCATGCAACCGGAGCAGCATATGCCAACAGTCACATGCTCCCTGGAATGGTGTGGCCCTGCAGGGACAGATCTTGTCCCACCATCTTCCAATGTGGGCTGGTTTCTCAGCTACCGAGGGACCAAGGAGCTGGGCTTCCTCATGCAGAAAGTCCTTTTCTCCTTCCCCTCACTCTGACCCCTTTGCCACCCCCCCAGACTCAGGGCCCCTCTCTAAGGTTATGCTGCCTGCAGCACCAAGAAGGAACCGTGGATAATGGGGAAGAGGTGCCAAGTGAGCACGCCCCTGACCTCTCGCCTAGTGTTTGGAGACCTGGAGCCAAGCATCTCTTGAGCCCCAGGGTGCTGCCCCATCACAGCTCTCGTTGTTGATGGCTGTGCCGTGTGGGATCAGGTCCCACCTTTACCTGCAGATTCCTGTCAATGAGCCAGTTGGTTTCAAAATCATCATCGTCCTCTCCAAATGGGTTGATAAGCTGTTCTGCCACCTGTGCATTGAGAGCACATGGTTCAAACCCCCCTCCTCAAGAGAGTGACCCGCCAGGCCAGTGGGCCTCGCAGTGCCCCAGAAAGCACATTTCAGTTGCGTTTCCCATTGCAGTAAGGGGGTTAAAAAGGGAAGATGAGCCACCACATGGCTTCTGGGACAGTGAGCAACGCTGTATGTTTGCTGTTTAGTGTGCTACACTATAGGGCTGTGTCTACACTGCACCCCTTTTCCGGAAAAGGGATGCAGATTAGACAAGTTGGAATTGCAAATGCAGCAGGGATTTACATTTTCCCCGCTGCATTTGCATGAACATGGCTGCCGCTTTTTTCCAGCTCAGGGCTTTGCTGGAAAAAAGTGCCAGTCTAGATGGGGATCTTTAGGAAAATAAAGCCTTTTCCGAAAGGTCCCTTATTCCTCTTAAAATCAGGAATAATGGATCTTTCGGAAAAGGCTTTATTTTCCGAAAGATCCCTGTCTAGACTGGCGCTTTTTTCCAGCAAAGCCCCGAGCAGCATCTGCATCCCTTTTCCGGAAAAGAGGTGTAGTATAGACACAGCCTAGAAGTCCTGTCGTTGGGAAGGAGGAAGCCAGAGCTCTCCCATCAGCCTGTCACTGCAACTCTAGATTCAACCACAGGAAAGGCCATAGAGCAATTCTCTGCAGGCCCAATGAAACCCTCTGCCCCAGGGCACAGCTGGTACGAGCCTGGGCTTAGGATGTGAACCCAGATCTCCTGCAAGGTGGAGCATTCAGAGATAGGGAAGACCCTGGAAGCACCCTCAGCCTCTGCTGGGCTAGACAGAGCAGGCTAAGCATGGGGACTTGAACGTGGGCCATGGAGGTGCAGCGCCCGGATCACTCTAACAGTGAGATGTTCCCCAGGGTCATCTTAGGAACTCCTGCCTGAGTCTGGAATCCGTTCCATGTTGGGGAAGGGAGGCTCCCGAGGGCCAGGGCATGTTTCCTTGGACCCACCTTTAACCAGCCAGCATAGAAGAAGAACTGCAGGAGAGTGAAGACGGGCACAAAGAGATCCAACTCGTGGCCAGGATACCTCTTTTCTGGGTCCAGGAACTGCCGGCCAATGAGGCAGGCCAGGAAGAAGCTGTACACAGCCACCGTGACCACCTGGGGAAGGGCAGGGGTGTGCGGTCAGAAATAGCTCTCAGGTTCCTAGCTTGCTTTTCCCCTTGGCCTAGCCAGACTACCATAGGAGGAGCTTGGCAGGGCTGCTCCCTTCTGTGGCCTTCAAAGACGGGGTTTAAAAAGGCAAAGCTGGCAGCTTCTCTGGGTGGGCAGTGCCCTAATCCCCCTCCCCCACACACTATTCAGCCAGAAGGTGTCTTT